TAACTAGTAATTAGAATTAGCTAAAATTTTTACTGAAGATAGTATCAATATTCCTCTATAATATATTTAAATTTTATTTGAATTGGTCAAGTAGTTCTTGAGTAATCGCTTCTATATGATAGTTAAATTTTTTAAAAAATCAACTATCATATAGAAGCAATTACTCAAGGACTACTTGACCAATTTAGATAAAATTTATATATATTATAGAAGAATATCGATACTATCTTCAGTAAAATTTTAGCTAATTCTAATTACTAGTTATTGAGAAAATCGTTATCAAAGTTTGATTATAATTTATGAAATTTTGATATATATCGTTAATAATTATAATCATTTATACTCGATAGAGATGCTATTAATCAATGATAATTTTTTAATTTTAATTGATTACAATCTAATTTTAAAATTTCCTGATGAATAGAGTTAAAAAACCACAAGTACTTGACCATAGCTTAAACGTAAGTTACTGAAAACCTAGGTAATATATATGTGTGGAACATAGATCACATTAATAGGTTTACCATGAAGATAAAGTAATCCTAAAAGACCTTAGTGCCAGTTCCTCTTTGGGAAGAATATCTAATGATGCTAAGTTGATCAAAGGATTTAATTGGATAACTCAAATAATAGTGGGTTATAGGTACAGCATCTAATGTAAAACCTAGTAATAGGCAAACTACTTAATTAGATGCTCAAAAAATGCAAATATGGCTAGAATGTATCCTCATTAATGTAACAAAGTCAGGGGTAGCCCATGTGATTGCCTTGGCATTCGATCCAAAGTTCAATAAAATGTGTCAAACCCCAAAGTGGTCACCTTAACATTAAAAAAAAAAAAAAGGTTTAACTACTTTAATAGATTTAGATTACTGATAAATTAGAATTTCTAATTTCTAAATAGTTTTTAATAATCTAAATTTTATTTTTGTAAAAAATTTTATAATTTAACTCTAACCAGAAAACTTCTAGTAAATTCTCAATACAAATATAAATAAAGATAAAAACAAAACCTCACAATATATATATATACGGTATATATAATTATAAAAAATAATTTTATTATTAAAATCATTTAACAAATTCTAAAAAAAATATCAGTGATTATAAAGCTTTTGTGATTATATAGAAGGATTTTTAATAATAAAATAATTAGTAACTAAATATAGTGCGATTGTATAGAGTTTGTAACTGTAAAGAAGGATAACTGTGTTAAATATTCTATATAAACCAATCTTATCAAACAAATCAAACTTATTATTTTCAAATCTAAGTTTATTAAATTCAATTTTAGCAATTTTAGACAGTATATAATTTTGATGCAGAAGATAACATTTCGTTACTAAAAAAGATTCTGACAAAAACAAATTAACTTATCAATAGCAATTGTACCTTTCCCATCAAATGTGGCAGTTTCCTAAACTTACCATAAAGCCGCGAAATAATTATCACTGATATTATTTCGAAAGTTGGATCCTTTAAATAACACCAATGGAATCTCGAGATAAAATTTGTCTCAAAGTGGGCACATGGGCTCGTTCAGAGCAACACACGGATGTGCATTATTTTGTGGTTTTTACGGTATAGGCATTCACAATGCTTCTCTCAAAATAATGTTAATTGACAAGCACGAAGAATACATTGAACTTGAAAAGCTAATAAAGATATAAGGCATATCCAAACTTATTCAACGCAAATTCTCTTGGATTGCCAAAAAAATCCAAAGACGACAACAAAAATGGGTTAAATTTCAACTTTAAACTTAAAATAATGTATCTTGTTCACGTAAATATTCACCAATATCAGCTTGGTGAAAAACGACGATATCAGTAGGTTTTAGCTTCCGTATTTCTACTGTAGAGCGCGCGGTAACACCAAAACCCTACCGACAAAAAATAAATAAAAAATAAAATAAAATAAATCTGAACAAAGATATTAGATAATTACCAAAGGTATATCAGACATTGAATATATTATAACACCTTGATGTTCGGGTGTATCTTCGGTAATGCGTCCGAGATGTGCCTTTAAAATATGATTCCCGTATAAAAATGAACCTTCACCGTTTGGTTTTATCCATAGTTTATACTTGATTAACAAGTAATTGTCATCTGGTTAATACTAAGTAATATCTGATTATATTTGCATTATGACAATACCTTTGCATACTGAGCAAGATAGTCCAAAGCAGTAATATGAAGTTTGAACTTTTTTGATTTGGTAAATTTCCCAAAGCACACGCCCAAAGAAGCTAATTGATCACGGCCTATACTAACTGCTTGACGCAGCATTGAGTCGCTTGAAATACAAATAAATTACGTCATTTTATTAGATTCATAAGAAGCATTTAGATTCCATTAATATCACAACTCAGACTTTTCTTAAACATTAATTCCTCTTACCTCACGTAATAAACCTTATCATTATGTAATCTAAAATAATAAGTTTCGTCAGACCGATCAATTAAGTGCAACACATTGTTTCCGATACTATATTAATTAAAAAGAATAGATCAATATACTAGTAAAAATAAATATCTCAACAAGGAAAAGAAACTTGCTATTTTGTTAATTTTTCAAAAAACACTTTGGTTTCGTCTTCTGTCAAGGGCCTCATTTGTAACTTTTTAAGATTATCATATATCGATATTGATAATGGAAATTTATCGACCGTTGTTACTGATCGACACTACGGCCTAAAATTACACAGGTACAAGGTCCAGAAGGAGGCCAAGGATTCATTCTATAAATAGATTGCTTTGTTTCAACGCGCTCATACCAACCTTTGAAAATTTACTATATTCTACAAAACATTTACTGTAAGAATCAGTTTTATAAACTTTTGCATTCGAGTTTCCAGGCTCATTTTGTTAATGTTCTGAACTATTATGTAGCATTTCATCATGGAATATGCACAAAAACTTTTTGGAAAAAAGATTAGCCCGGATGAAATGGTAACATTCTTTCTTCCTTTTTGCATAAACTCAGCGGTTCTTACGAACTGCGGAACTCATGCTAAAAGTAAGCCGTAATTGTCGGTTCATTACAGTTTGAGGGAGAATCTACACTTGAACGATAATATTTCTTTTTTTTTTGAATCCTTTTTGTTGTAACAAAAACTGACCTGAAATTCTTATTTTCATAATAAGGTAAAAAAATGGCAGCGGGATATTAGAACACAACAACGCGTACTTGAACGTCAAATAAAGGAATTTGGTGATGTAGAAAAAAAAACTACAAGTCTTTTAAAGCAAAACGCAAAAAAAAATGATGCGAATGCCTGTAAAATTTTTGCGAAAGAACTGGTAAGAACACGACGCCAGATAGTAAGGTTGCATACCAGTAAAGCACAATTGAATTCGATCCAATTACAACTTCAACATCAACTAGGTAAGCAAGACACAATTTAATATTATAATCAATAAACCATATGTTCATGTATATTATTTAATTTAGCTACTCTGAAAATTACTGGATCGCTAAAAAAAAGCGTTGAAGTTATGAAAATGGTTAATGGGTTAGCAAAGCTACCAGAAATATCGAAAGGAATGCAAGAACTATCAATGGAAATGACAAAAGTATATTATCAGCTATTTTAAGATAAGCTTTAAATTAACGGAAGTGGGCGTCATTTTATCACGGCCCGAATCAAGATTAATTCGGGCCGTACTCAAAATAATGAATCGATGCCCATTACACAGTAACTCTTGATATAACGTATTGTTTGGGCAATTAGTTTATTAATGAATCCATTATATTTATTATGGTGTGATCTAGACCTTGATCCGTTGTATCAAGATTTACATAGTATCCGTTATACCAAGAGTCCTTTATATTGAGGCATTGTGCATGTCGAGGTTTTTATACACGCGTATCGTTTTTGATATTAACTACTATATCAATATATTGGTTAGGCCGGTATCATGGATGAAATGATAGAAGACACATTTGAATCATTTGAAGATAGTGACATTGAAGAGGAGGCAGAGGAAGAAGTCAATAAAGTTCTTTTTGAACTCACTGATGGTATGTGCCCATTTTATTCTATTTTAAAACTTTCATTGATAATAATTATATATTTTTTCTCAAAGGTTTAATCGGTGAAGCCGGTGAAGTCGGTGCTCCATTAGATGTAACTACAATTTTTGTTATATTATTGTGTTCCGTTTCATTTACTGTTGTAACTATTTATGTTAATAAATTTTTGCGATTGAAATTACAGCTTAACGTTGAAGAGGAAGAGGAAGAACCGGAACTTAACGAAATGCAAGCCAGGCTACAAGCATTAAAATCGTGATAAGCAAATAATAATATTCACGATTATCACGTGTAGATTTCTATATAACGTAAGACTATTCCTCAGTAGCGAGTTAAATAAAATAAGTGGTATTCTTTATTATAATACAAGCATCATTTTTATTATGAGCCAGTGAATAGCTTTCTATGTACTAATATAAATTCAACTGTGATAAAAATCAAAGTGTTATAAACATTCTGTAAAACATATCAATTAAGACAAGCTTTTTCTGGAGAAATCTTTGAAAAATCCAGCTAAACTTATCAAATACGATAATACCCTGCTTTAAGGGAGGTTTAAAGTTCATATTACGCATTAAACAAGTTTTTGTGGATCCCTAATGCTTTGATTAATTTCTGTAGCCATTTTATATTGAAGCCAATTCTTGATCCACACGGTATAATTTTTTTATAATTGTTATAATTTTAGTTTCTTAATTTTTTAGCTTTTAAACCTAGATAATATTTTAGAAACATAGTTTAGATTTAGGGAATTGATATTTATATCTTTTATTTTGATATTTGTACTCTTTATTAAACAAAAAATGCTTTAAAACAAAGTTGTTATTAAGTAAACCTTTTTAGTAGTTTTAAGCAAAGTTGTTTTTTTAATTTTTCTAATTCTAATAATAGTAAGATTATTAAATTTGGTTTAAAAATTCTGAGTTATTTATTTATATTTATAGTTAACTTTAAATAAGAATTATTAATTTTCTTTTATATAGAATGTTTTATAAAATAAATAGACAAACTTTGCAACTCCACTATTAATTACTAATTATTAGCAAAGCTTATTTTTTATATTGCCTACCTAGTGTTTCTACAGACCAAGCTTGAATTAGACTTTAGTCAAGTTTGAGTTTGGTCTGATTTTTAGACCAAACTCAGACTTTTATATTGTTACAGTGATACTTTTAAAAGAAGGGTTTAAGAAGAGCAAGAGAGAAGGTTTAAACAAAAGGATTTATTTACTTGTTTTAGAGATAATAAAGACATTACAAGGTTATTAGAATGAAAGAAATATTATAAGAATATTTAGAAAACAATATTTCAAAAAGTATTTAATAGTTTCTATTTATTATCTACTCTAATATTTTCTACTAAATGTCTAAAAATGTTTGTTGGGGTAAGAGGGAAAAGCCTTCTTTTAAATAACTGTTAGGTTGGTATACAGTAGTATACAATCATATAGGAGATTTAAGTAAAAGTCTTGTAAAGAGTAGTAATATGGGTTGTAGGTATATATATTATAAGTTATATAAGGAAAAGTTTGAGATTTCAGAAAATAGATATCAATAATTGAATTGAAAGGAATAAAAGAAAAGTATTTGTAACTTTTAACAAGTATTCTGTAGAAGCTATAACATAATAATCTTTTATAAGAAAAATAAGTATATGTTTTGCTATAGTCTTCTTTAATCATTATCTGAAAAGTATAATTGTATATATTATTAAAGTTATAATAAAATGATTTTAGATGTTTAATAAAGAAGTTGATAATTTGAGAATAAAGAAGTATAGAAAGGTTAAGGAATAATAAAATCTTGTTATAATATATATTAGAGTTATATATAATTATATGAGATAGGTTGCTATTTGAAGTATTGAAATTGTTAATATTAGAAGTTGGCTCATAATAGAGATCTAAAGACGTTAATAATAATGTATCGAAGTTGTAATTGTTTTTTACTGAGTTGTTTACTGTATACTCAGCTTGCATAGTTTTCAAATAACTTGTAGCCTGCTTTGTATATTAAATCTGACTATCATAATCTCAGGCTTCTAGATAAATGGGTTTGCCTATCCATCTACTTATATTATTTTCTTTACTAACTACTATAAGTATATCATTTAGTAAGGTGGCAGCTGTATCAATAGTTGTAAAAAATAGGTTTATTAAAAAGAAGTCTCTTTAAAAAAAAGAGACTCATTTATAAAATTAGAGATTTAAAAAGTAAAATTGAATTTTTTCTGAAGATACTTATCTGCTTTAGAATAAGCAATTTTTTGGTATTAGTCATCTTATTTATTCTGACAGTTGAAAATTAAAAATTAAAATTGTCTATATATAAAAATTTTTAAATTTTAATAATTTATTTATACATATGGGCGGATCTGCAGATCACCCCAAAATTTTTGACGCACCTAAATTTGACTCATATTGGTGGATCTGCAGATCACATTGGTGCGTCAGTAATTTGACGCACAGATTGACCAATTAAATTTATTAGATATAGAATTTTTTTTTTATACATGTATTAGTTTTTTCTTTTTTTTTTTTTTTACTAATCTACCTTTTATATATGTAGAAGTCGTCGCTTGTAGATGTCATCGTAGTAGAAGTCGTCGCTTGTAGATGTATTCGTAGGTGTTGTCGTTGATGTAATGTCGTTGTAGGTGTAGTTGATTGTATGTGTTGTCGCTTGTAGATTTCGTCCTTTGTAGGTACTGTCGCTTGTAGGTTTCATCACTTGCTGTTGCCTAGTGGTGTCTTTGTTGTTAACGTTTTTTGCTTGCAGTGTCTTTATCATTATTCGATGTTGTTTATACTGTAGGTTTCTTCGTATTTACTGATACCTTTACTGTTGGTATTGACGATTTAAGTTTTTTACTTCTGTTCGCCTCTTATGCTGATGTAACTAGAATGATTTCATGAGAATGGATTATTTGAAGATCAGAAACAATACATTGTAACAAATTTAATTTATCTTTCCATTGTATTTCTGCTACAGAACGAAGATTTTAACGTAAGGAACCCAATTCCGCATATTCTAAAACAATAATATAATCCAGAAATATCATCGTGGGTATTTTAGGTCCCTTGTGCCGATGCTGTTTACTATCATCTTATTGGTGTAACTAGTGAGGTCTTGTAAGTCATAACTTTGGTGAGTTTTAATACATGAAATGGCGACAGTAGATTTTTTTGTAGTCTAGATTAGGGTTAGGATAATTGGGTTGGGTCTATGATTATAATAGGATTAGTGGTGAAATTGGCGAAATTAGGGTGAAATTAGGCTTTGTGATAGGTTTTAGCAATGAGATTGATGAGTAAGTATGTTTAGTACATAGAGCAGCGTATATGTTGTATCGTATCATATGAATAAATAAATAAATATAACATACTGTATAACAGTATGTATAATAAAAAAATAAAATTATTATATATGAATTGTATAACCATTGCATCATAGACGCATTTTAGTAAAGTCGCATTCCATTTATCATCAATAAACATTGGATATTGTTATAAAAACGAGTTGAAAAGGGCAAACATAGAACATTCCACTTATTAATAAATTGGACGAAATGGGAAGTTATTTCAGATTATAAATTAAACTTTTATTATTTCGATTCTTTATCACGCTAATTTTTTTTTTTTATTCAGCTATTGCTTTTAAATTAACTTTCTATATACCGTACAGCGTGGACTAAAGTACCCCGGGTACAATACATTCCACGGGCAAAATCCAAGTTAGTACCCAGGTACTATACTAAACGATTTTTCATATAAAAAATTTTTTTACATAGGATATACCCACCAGGATTTTACATTCCACCATATAATTTTTTTTGAGGAGGGTACTTTGATGTGGGGGTACTATAGTCCATGCTGTACAGTACTATTCAAACCTCTACATAAATTTGGATAGCTTATTAAATTAATTAGCATTGAATAAAATGAATACCGTATTATAAAATTTTCACAAGAGATTATATACTTTAAATAATAAGTTTTTACTTACTATATTTCTATATTAAATATTTACGTATTTTTTGCTATGTTTATTTAATTTCTACTATTTCTTAAAAGTGAGAAATAGGTTTTGGGTTGGAGAAATGTGTTGGCTTATGTTTTGTTGTTTTTTTTAGGTAGAGAAATAAATTTAACGTGAAATTTTTTTAATTTTATCCAATCAACATGTGACTTTTTGCAAATTGGTAGACTAATTTTCAGGTCTAATTCTGCAGATCGGCGCATATGAATTTTTTTATATTAAATAATGTAGATCTTGAGCTATCTTTTGATATATTTATTATTATTTTTTTATAAACAATTTATTAAATAAATAAACTTTTTAAAAATTATAATTTTTTTAAAAAAGATTAGATTTTAAGCATTTTCATAAGCTATATGCAGTGTAACAAATTTGTATTATGCAGGTATATAGCTATGCATATCCTGAATATACAGTTAAAATTTTACTTAATTGGATCAATAGTTATTAAAATATAAATTTTAAAGTTTTTTAAAATTTTATAGTAAAATTACTATATTATACAATAGTTGTACAAAATTTCTATAGTAATTTTTGTATAACTTTTGTATTACATAGTAATTTTACTATAAAATTTTAAAAACTTTAAAAATTTATATTTTAATAACTACTGATCCAATTAAGCTAAAATTTTAACTATATATTCAGGATATACACAGCTATGTATTTGTATAATACAAACTTGTTATACTGCATATAGCTTGCGAAAATGCTTAAAATCTAATTTTTTAAAAAAAATCAATTTTTTATTTTTAGCGATCCTGCCTTTATTATTTTAATCGAAAGTATCAAAATTTATATTTGTTACAAATATATAATTCTATACTAAATTCCTGTACTAATAAAGACTCACTTGGCATTAAATACCTAGATGTGACCTACCTAAGCAGCTAATTTGCTTCACGTTAGATCCTCAACTTTTTGAAAATTTGTTTTCTACGACATAAGCTGGGAAATGCCGACCTAAAATCAATTTTTTTAAAAAAAATTATAATTTTTAAAAAATTTATTACTTAACAAATTGTTTATAAAAAAATAATAAAAATTTATCAAAAGATAGCCCAAAACCTACATTATTGAATATAAAAAAATTATAAAAAAATTATTAAAATTTAAAAATTTTTATATATAGACAATTTTAATTTTTAGCTTTTAACTACCATAGTGATAGTACCTGGATAGGGTATTATCTGAGTTATCCACAGATAGTCGGATATCCAGG